GTTAGCGCGACTCCCACACAATCCAGAAAAAATAAACTGCGGTTGAGCTTTTCCCCTTTGAAAATAGATATTCAATCAATTTTACAATATGTGTAAAGTGAATAATATTTCCTTTTTTCCATGAAAAAAGGTGGAAATTGAATTTGAGTAGATTTTCCTCCTTGTAAATGACATCGAAGGGCATCCGCGGCGTGACTTCTGCGCGATTTTGACAATCGCCATAGAAGTAGTTGGAAAAGTAGAAATTTAGTGCAAAATGATAGGCCATTCATCAATTATTTTTGTCATTCTTCACATTCACGAATGGAAATTACTTCCAGCTATTTTGCAATTTATTGTTTAGCCCGTTAAAAGGTTATAGTAGGATTACTTTGGTTTTGGTAAGTCCCATCATGGGGTCGCGGAAAAGTTTCCGAGTTTATAGAAGGTTAAAATCTTCTTCAAGAGTCAGTACAACATAACGGAGATTTTGAAAATACTGCATAGATCCAAGCTTGGATTATTTAACTATATATCAAACACTGCAGAAATTACGTACTAAAGAGCTCAAGAAGGCGATTAAGCCCAAATTTCAGAAGCATTGGCGTCTTCTGAAGCTACGAGCAATGAAAAGGTTTCCGACGAGCAGCTCATGAGTATCGGCATCTTTTATATGAACCAAGAATATATTTGAACAAGACCGTCATTCCTTAACAAAAATTGAAGGCAAAACCATCAGTGACAGAAGGCGGCAAACAGGATCGCCTCAAGTTTGCACATGATCATTTGACATGGACCGTAGAATGGGATCCTGTAGGGTTTATCGACGAGGATAACTTTTAGCTAAACTATTGGCACGATATAAGGAAAGAACAGAAGCACTTTCAGCATTTTCAACGCCTTCAATTTTGGTGTGGACAGCCTTTAGCTATAACGCGAAAGTGGTAATGCTTATTGTAGACGATCGCATGAAGACTCTCAAGTATAAAGCAGCACTCCACACCTAATCGGTAGCCTTTTGTCCTATTATCGAAGGCCAAGATATATCTTTCAGAAAGAAGCCTCCTCCAAGTACCCCCGGAATGGCTTTAGTCCAACAGTCCGGCTTCTGGAGTTGTGGAAAAGCCAGAATATGATTCCGATCAAAAACGTTTGGAAACTTATGGTTCGTTCCGTTTACGGTAACGGAAAGGCATAGAGATATAAACATCCTAAAACAAGCGATTCTTCCTGTTAAGAAGTAAAGTTGTAAGCTAGTTGATTCGATGAAGAAAGGAATTTTCAAAGTTATCAGAAAAAATTGGGGCTCCACAAAGTATTTAGCACGATATTCACAATAAGTAAAGCATGCCCTATTATTTTGTAGCAAGTTACTTTACATTTTTCCATAATTTTTGAAGTAATAATGAATAAAATACGTTCAAATAATTCTTTCGAGCATTACACAAGTGTGATATTCGATTGAATTTGAACACCTCTCAAATTATAGAGAAAAAAATGACCTGCAATTAATTTGCACTAGATGTAGTTCATCAAAACAAAACTCGTTGAAAGCTAAGTCCAGTATTTCGTATAAAAACATTTTATTTCGAATGCTGCTAAAAGCTTCGATTTCTTAGATCATTTCTGAGTTTAAAAGGCATCACAATATGTCCCAGGGGAAACACAATTTAAAAACAATGGGAAAGGAAAGAGCAAGATACTATCCTTACTTCTCTTTGCACAAGACAGCTACATATGTCGTACTCAGCATCGAAAAATAATCACGTGTAACTAGAAACAGTGATCCTAACGCGGTGTTACTGCTTTTGAGGAGTGGCGATAGGCGCGTACAGGTGATTAAAACACACTGCGCAATTATGGCGGCTGCGTTCATCTTCAAATATGCAATTAAAGAGATTTGAGCAAAAAAAGATATGTATTGATAATTTTTTACATTTTATCCGTACTTAATAATAATTTGTGACTAACGTTGTAGGGAGCGTAGAGCTTGAATTGTAGCTAGATACTCTAGAAGCGCACTGACACGGCTTTAGTTTTGCCACCTTGGTTAACATACCATTCCATGTTTTTTCCGAGTAACTTCAACGTGAATGAAGAAAAATAACCGTGGGTCATCACGCCAGTTGGGATATAACTATCACTACGTGAGAATGCTTACAAGCACAAAATTGTGAAATTGTCTCTAATATGTATTTCAGCGTAAACGTGAAATGCTGGGTCCATGTTAGATGCAGAACCACTCATTCTGCTAATATAGAGTAAGGCTGAAAAATCTGAATTTACTGACCACAAGCTTACAAGTCTCGAGATTGGACTCCCTTGTATGCGAAAGACACGTTGTCCTCATAGCATCCAAAAATACATGAGCCCGATGAAGAGCATCCTCCTAAATAATCGTCATATATTTTCGGACTTGTAATGCGTCGTATTTGACGCATAAACGAGCAGCTAAGCAGACGAACCGCCGGCGGCTCGACTTTATGGAGATGTCGTGCGCCTTTTCCAATGATCCCAGAGTGAGCCAACTGATTTGGTCGCTTGTTTAGCGGCATACATTCAATAGCTTTCAGAAACGATTCTTCCTAGATTTCTTGTAGAAATACGGGACAAAGTAAAGTATATTTGAACTACCTGTGCTTCTTCTATTTCTGCTAGTTTATTCGCACGCTCTTCACTCTCGTACTTCCACGCTACGAGATCTTCCGAATCACCAAAAAGAGCTTTTGCATCCTAAACTTATCTCTCAGTTGCGTCATCAAGAGAAGAGTGAATAAATTTTATAAACGGATACTGCAAAGTTGGAAATGACCAATAGTAACTGTAAAAACGATATCCATGAAATGAACCTATACACCAAAACCGTAATTGCAAAAAAAGTAAAGTCAAGAGTGACAGCTTTGAAATAATCGATATCCGACTAGGTAATTTGAACAAAGAAGCATACCTGTATGCAACACGTGAGAAAAGACATTAGGAATAAGTTATTGTAATCTCGCAAAATGGGATTGAGATGACGTGATACGAATATAAAAACAGTAGTGCGATATTCTTCAAACACAGAAATAGCGATTTCATGTTCTAAAACGGGTTAAACGTAGGGTTACGAGGACAACGAATGAGCAACTAACCACGGCTGACCATCGAAAGCGCAATGCGCTGCAAGGAAGCCAATTGCAGCATGAGCTTGTACGCATACCGAATCTGCATCTTTGCGGAGCGATTCTGCAACAAGAAAAAACGAAATGCTCACAAGCCAGAGACTTTTTCTAATTGAAAACAGAACAAGACTGAAAAGATAGTTGCAATGAATTAAAAGCATGGTGACTTCCAGCTCTGCAATTTTTTTCTTTCAACATATTCAATAAATACTTTCTCCCATTAATTGGAAAAGAAAAACTTACAGGAGAACCTTCTTTTGTCTGTCCTGTGGCTGGTAATGACACCTCTATAAGACGAGATACAGCTAGCACTATATCCATTGCCGTTTGCAATTCCTTTTCCTCAAAATAAATAAAAAATAAAAAAGGCCTTTGCTAGTTCAATTGTCAGAAATTAAGAAACGAAGATTCATTTACAGTAACGCATTCTTCTACGGTGTTCAGTACTTCATACATGAAGTTAGTATAGAGTTCTCCAAGGGCTGCGTCCGGATACAGACTGAAAGCAATGAAGTGAGAAGAAAGAAGAAAGAAAGAAAAGCTCATGGTTTGAGTTAAATTTACTACACTACATTCCAGATTTGATATAAGGGCTCTGACAAAAAAATATGGTTGTAGGCGCGACTTTTGGAAGATATCGCGTGAAAATACAGTCCACATGGAGTTAATGATGATATGTCGTAAAAGTAATATTTATTCGCAGCTTAAAAAACTTCTTTCAGCATGCTTATGACACCAAGTCAAAGAACTCAAGGAGATGCGTTATGATTAGAAAATTAAAGGACTGACACCCCAGAAATAGTAAAAGTTTGAAAATCCAAAGCTGTTGACTTTCAGGCCCACAAGCAGTTATTGGCGCAGCCTTCCAAAGTTGAAATCAAATGCTATCCGGAGTCTAAGACTTGAAGTGAACGCCTACCTATCCACTAGTCTAAAATGCCATATTGAGCAACTAATTGTATGAGGAGATAACTTGCCGGAAATGTTTGAGCTGTAACGAATTGTCAGCTGTCTGTTCCCATTCTAGAATTACTCGCATGTTGTTTAAAACTCGAAGGATTGAGCTTCTGGCTAAATCGTCATATACAGCAGTACAGTTAGATACCTTCATGTTAATAAAGATAACCATAAATAGGATACAGTCTATCTACAAAAGATCTCACCTGAATTTTTTTCTTTATCTACCATTCGCATTACATTCGTTAAAGATTCATATGCAGTGCGCATCACATTTGGATAATACGGCACCACCGTGGTGAGAAAAGCGCACAAAGCAGAAAGCTGAAAAAGAAGCTGCTATTGAGCATTGCAAATTTTTTTTTTAAATGAGAAGAAAATCCCACCGACTGGGCCTCATTGCATCCAACAATAAAACGGTCAATAATTTCAGCGGCTTTCGGTTCTCCATATATTATAGCCACACCATGAAGGTATCGAATCACACTTCCAGCCCTACACTTAAGACTTCAAAACAACACAGCAAAATGAAAATTAGTCAAAGCCAACCATGGAGGGCTGGTAATGGCAGCGTCAATCACGAACTGCAGTCTTTTCCCTGAAGCAAACTCCGCAACTGGCGGGTAATCCACTACTGAGAGGTTCTGTTTTGAATGGACTGTTCGCACTATGAGATTCACAATTTCATCCTCAAATCAACATTTGAAATATGATCTGATATGACTAAAAAATTGGAAGGTAGAGAAGATTAGCTAACCACAACTATTATGATCTTTTCCCTGACTGCACGACAAACGCCAGGATCCTGATGCTCAAACTCTAAATACAACAGATATGTACTAGATAATTTAATAGATCGCTTACCACTAAAAATTAGAGGATCGAGAGCCATCTCCATAACACATGAAAAAACGACAGAAAGCGATTGGACGTCCAAAGCTCGAACCATTTGTTTTGCGAATTCCATGTATGGCATTGAGGAAAGAACCAGGCGTTGATCGACAGACATCAATTGACGTATGCCACGGAAAAAATAGGACGGCGTGGCTGGAACTAAAACCTTCTAAAGTTGTATAAACAGATACTAGTAGCCATCATCACCTGCGTCCGCATTTTGTCTAATGAGACAACGAAGCGTTTCGACGGAACACGTTACCAATTTGAAGAAGAACACAAAGTCCAAGTTCTCAAAAACCCCATCCTTGGGGTTGCAATCAAGACTGTCCTATAACGATAATCTTGGTCATAGGAGAAAAAAAAGAAAATGCTGAAACTTTGAATTTACTTTAATCATACGCGAAACAACTTTCTCCAACTCTGTATTGCTGCGTCGAGTAAGGAAATTAAAGACGTCGGACAGAGAACTAAGTTTCATATTATAATCTTCGTGTATACTAGCGAGGATAGCCGCAGATACCTATGTAAGAAAAGATGAATAAAACTAAATAAATAAGTGAGTAGAGATTTCTGAGTAACAATACCTGGCTTCTTTCTTTCACTTTGAAATCTTCAACATATGCCTTGAACTGACTAGCACCAACAGTAAACAGATGGTCCACAATAGATCCCGGGAATGTGATTCTGCATGTAGAGAATTAGAGAATACTCAAGCTGACGCGGAAACTTACGCAATATGAAGCCAGATCCAATTGAAATGAGTTCCATGTCGGGAGGCTTCGAACAACACCGTCATGCATTCATCCGGACATTTTGAAAGACTGAAAATTACATTGACGACGTTAGTGAGGAAGTGAGATATCGCGAGATAACTAACAGAATATTGATGGTAGCGTCAATGAGCCTGATTAATTGAGCAACAGATCCAACCATCTTAAACATATCAAGGATAGATTCAGCTCCGCGAGGCAAATTTATCAAGGTTGAACGACCAGCGTTATGTTGCGACAGCTCCGATGATATAGTACAACACCACTAAAAAGGGTTGCATTTCTCTTCTGGTCACTGCTACTGCATTTTGTAACAACTAATAATAGATAGCTGTTACGACGACAAAAAAAAAACTCACGGAAAGTACGTTTATTACGGACTGCTTCAGGAAAGACGAAGCAACAGTGCTCTCCACCATTTTCATAAGTGTTATAGCAGCATTCTCGACAGAAGTATAATCGACAGCTGCAAGAAAATTGATACTCTAAAGCAGGACCTGAAAAGTGTAGCCTGCCTGAAGTTCTAATTTAACTGGTCACTCGATCTTTCAGGATAGCTGCTCCAACTTCCCGACTAGTTACCAATACAATTTTCTGGGTGCAGGG